CAGACAGACAGACAGGCAGGCAGACAGACAGACGACAGACAGACAGACAGACAAACAGACAGACAGACACAGACAGACAGACAGACAGCTGCAGAGAGTGGGTTCAGTACGCTATATACCCCGTTCAACAGACAGACAGACAGACAGACAGACAGACAGACAGACAACAGATTAAACAGACTGACAGACAGACAGACAAATACATAAAAAGACTAAATAAGCAGAAAAAAACAGATAAATAGATATAAAGAAAAAAAAGAAAAAAATGTTTGCGCGTGGGTACATCTATTATATTCAAGTAGATAGTGGGCTCAGTACGCTACACTCCCAGCACTTGAACTTGAACAAATCTTCCTTTCCTCCCCTCCTCCCCTCCTCCCCTTCTCCCCTCCTCCCTCTCCTCTCCTCCTGCCCTAGTGGCTTCTCCTCCATCTGTTTGCAGTATTCTGTAAACAATGCCTCACCTTGGGAGGACCGGAACAGCCGCCTCTCGTTCCTTCCTTCCTTCCTCCCTTCCTCCTTTCCTCCCTCCCGTCTTTCTTTGGCGAGGAAAGAGAAGGTGTTTACTTGGCATACAAAAATACGGTACGCGAATCTGTTGTTGAAATAGCTATTTGCATGAAGGGGAAAAAAAGGTAAAAGCGATAAAAGCGACCTCCCGCCTCTAGATAGTTTTCAAACGTCTTCGCCGTATCCGTGTTTGTCTCTTGGCTGCCATTAATTTACTCTTTAAACGCCAAGACTGGCCGCAAGATGAAGCGAATTGTTTGTTTGTTGGCAGTCTCTTCAACGTGGAATGATACGAGAATTATGACGGTCTTCATTTTTGTGATCTTGTAACATTTCGAGTGTCGGATTTTATCAGTAGTTTTCTTGTTTTTCTTTCTATATTAATAAGCTGTACTCAGTATTCAGTATCCAGAGAAAATAAAAGCAAATTAAAAGAAAGAAACTCCTGAAATGTGGTCCGTCTTTTGAATCTTTCTTTTGATGATTACTCAGCTTTCTCCCCCCTTTCTTGACCCCCTTTAGTGGAGGGTGGGTGGGTGTTGGAGTTGGTTGGCGGCATGGAAAGTCCAATAGACCTAATAGTAATATCTATTTTATATTAATAATATGTAGATCATTTTTAAAGTGCCTGCTCCCGTGTACACACGTCTCTAGGAACTCCACATAAATCCAAGTACAAAACAATAACAGTTACAGTTAAAAGAGAATGCATAATGTCCACATTTATTGTAGCGTGTAACCTTAATAGCCTTGGCCAAGAGGTTGCGGTCTAGTTAGGCCATTGGCACTAATTGTGTTCAATGTATAATATGCTGGCTGGAGACATTTCTCATACACATGGTTTACTAAGTACCCTATCAGTGTCAAGTCTAGGGCCACATTGCATTATTCCGTCGATGCTCTGTCTGTCTGTCTGCCTCTCTTTCTCTCTCTCTCTC